TCTGGACTTGGCAACTTATGATGCTCGTCTGGATATCCAAGTATATTTTGAGAAGGAGTTTGGTTGCATCTATGACCAGAATATCCGAAAGATGCAGAGGATATCAAAGCCTTGGCCATCTGTTGAAGTCCTTGCTGTACTTCTAAATCAGGCTGGCAGTTCATTTGCATTTGCCACAACATTGACCCAATATGTTGGAGGAGCTCCCATGCCACACAAAGCTGTGCAACAACTTTTGGAATCTGGAGCTAATGGACTGGATCCACTCTATAAACAAGTTCTCTTCTCTGCTTCTGGGACAGCAGCTCTTCATCAGATTCTTGGAACAATCATGATCCTGGAGGACAACCGATCTATCTCTTTTCTCAGTTCCCTCCTCAATCTTCAGCATGAGGAGGTTATTCATGAGCTATTGGGGGTACAGTCAATTATCAAAATCCCAGGACATGATGATCAGCCTATCATGCTCTATCACACCTCTCTCCGGGATTTTCTGACCATTAAATCACGATCAGAGCAATACTTCATTGATCCTCCCCTGCAACATCTTCATCTTGCCATACACTGTTTGAAGCATCTGGCAGAGTACCCTTCAAAAGACTTTTTTGAGGGTGATGTGGCCAACTATGCTTGCATGAACTGGCCACACCATATTCTTTTAGGATTTCAGAAGCAGCAATCATATGTGGATGGAACAATGATAAACTCTTTGAAAACTTTCATTGAAGGTTTACTAACTTTGCAAGGTAAGACATGGTATAATACAATACTGACTGTTGGGGAGTCTAGGAGGACAAGAATGTCAAGAGATATAAAGAATTTATTTCAAGTCAGTTGTTTCAATTTTCAGATGGCCATCATACTTTTTGACATATGTAATACATTGCAGCTGTCAGTTGTTAAAAAGAATTTGACCAAGCTATTTGAACAACTTATTGATTTCTATGAAGTAAGAGTTTATGATTAGGATATCTTTGCTAATTTATCAAGATCTTCCAACAGCAAGTAAGTAACAGGGGAACAATGCTGATCAAAAGTTAATCTATAAGCTGAATAGGAGGTATGTGGTAACTAATAGACATCAAAATAAAATATTGACCTGGTTTACAGAAAGTAAGTGAAGAGATGTTAATATTTTATTGCTGTTGATAAAGCACAGGAAGTAAGAACAAAATAATCTTTAAACAAAAACAGAACTTGAGCTTTATTGTTTTCTTTTTGGCAGAATGTATGTGTACAAATTGTTTGACCTTTAAAAATTCTAATGGTTGTCATTAGTTTGTGAGCAATTATTCTGCATAATATGGCACATCTTATCATCAGCTGTCCATTTGTTTCAGGAGGTAAGTATGAACTGTTGATTCTACTACTTATATAACTAATGTTCTTGTTTATAAATCCAGAGGGTAATACATAGTCTATTCACATTGTCTCTGTATGCCACTCTAACATATTTTTCAGTGGGTAAGTAAGTGTAAAATTTATGAAATAATTTTAAGCTAACTCAATTTTTTATATGAAACTATCATTTCTTAGTCTGTAAGTTGTTCTTCTATTGACTATTATCTCTTCTGGTAACTCATTGTTATTATATGCTTTGACTTATTTCAGAAAGTAAGCTTTCTTGCATTTTACTTTGCACACTTCTAAAACACATACTCTTGCCATTATTTTTTTAGGCGGTGTGTTGGCAGTTCTTTTACTCTGCACTCTTCTAAAGATACATGCTCTGGCTATTATTTTACAGAAAGTGAGTTGGCTTGGTTATTTCTAATATGCACTCTTCTGGTGACATTGGCCTGTCTTGTTTCAGATGGTGAGTTGGCCTGGTTTTTAATGTGCATTCTTCTGGTGACACAAACTGTGGCCTGTCTTGTTTCAGGATGTGAGTTGGCCTGGTTTCTAATGTGCACTCTTCTGGTGACACTGGCCTGTCTTGTTTCAGGATGTGAGTTGGCCTGTTTTTTGATGTGCACTCTTCTGGTGACACTGGCCTGTCTTCTTTCAGAATGTGAGTTGGCCTGGTTTTCAATGTGCACTCTTCTGGTGACACTGGCCTGTCTTCTTTTAGCTGGTGAGGTGGCCTGGTTTCTAATGTGCACTCTTCTGGTGACACTGGCCTGTTTTGTTTCAGAATGTGAGTTGGCCTGTTTTTTGATGTGCACTCTTCTGGTGACACTGGCCTGTCTTCTTTTAGCTGGTGAGTTGGCCTAGTTTCTAATGTGCACTCTTCTGGTGACACTGGCCTGTTTTGTTTCAGAGGGTGAGTTGGCCTGGTTTCTAATGTGCACTCTTCTGGTGACACTGGCCTGTCTTCTTTTAGCTGGTGAGTTGGCCTGGTTTTTACTGTGCACTCTTCTGGTGACACAAACTGTGGCCTGTCTTGTTTCAGGAGGTGAGTTGGCCTGGTTTTTAATGTGCACTCTTCTGGTGACACTGGCCTGTCTTGTTTCAGTTTGTGAGTTGGCCTGGTTTTTGATGTGCACTCTTCTGGTGACACTGGCCTGTCTTGTTTCAGGAGGTGAGTTGGCCTGTTCTTTTTATGTGCACTCTTCTGGTGACACAAACTGTGGCCTGTCTTGTTTCAGGAGGTGAGTTGGCCTGGTTTTTGATGTGCACTCTTCTGGTGACACTGGCCTGTCTTGTTTCAGAATGTGAGTTGGCCTGTTTTTTGATGTGCACTCTTCTGGTGACACTGGCCTGTCTTCTTTCAGAGGGTGAGTTGGCCTGGTTTTTTATGTGCACTCTTCTGGTGACACAAACTGTGGCCTGTCTTGTTTCAGGAGGTGAGTTGGCCTGGTTTTTAATGTGCACTCTTCTGGTGACACTGGCCTGTCTTGTTTCAGAATGTGAGTTGGCCTGTTTTTGATGTGCACTCTTCTGGTGACACTGGCCTGTCTTCTTTCAGGAGGGTGAGTTGGCCTGGTTTTTAATGTGCACTCTTCTGGTGACACAAACTGGCCTGTCTTGTTTCAGGAGGTGAGTTGGCCTGGTTTTTGATGTGCACTCTTCTGGTGACACTGGCCTGTCTTGTTTTAGAATGTGAGTTGGCCTGTTTTTTGATGTGCACTCTTCTGGTGACACTGGCCTGTCTTCTTTCAGAGGGTGAGTTGGCCTGGTTTCTAATGTGCACTCTTCTGGTGACACTGGCTTGTCTTGTTTCAGGA